ATAATAAAACTAATAGTTCGCTTTGGAAAATTTACGAAACTGTTACATGAAAGTTTATAGAAGGCGTTTTAATTACATATTACCACGAACACAACGACTCTGTACAGCCGAGTTGATTGGTTTGAGTTAGAAACAGTAGCTGTAGCTTGGATAAAATATTATTGCAAGCTGGGCTAATGTTACCAAGTGTCAAGTACTACATACATTTTAATATACTGAGAAATTAAACCATACATGTATATAACGTATACAATTTCTAAAAATATTTCAATGAAGTGTTAAAAAATAATAATTTCAAGCGACTTTAGTGCAGTTTTAATGCAACTTTATTACCACAATTATATCAGCCGGTGATATAACAAATCATTTGTAATGTTTTAAGCCAAGATCGTCTCAAGGTCGGTACAGTCAGCAACACAATCCAATCTGTAGCACACAATATAGCGTTAGTCGACGCCCTTGTGTACACCATTGTTCATGAAGTACCTACTTGGTTATTAAGATCTTGAATTACAATACAAATGACGTATAATTCAAAACAATTAGACAATTTAAATAATCATCGGCTTAATGATTCCTTTCTTTAGGTAAGATTAAGTAGAATTAGCTGAATTCTTTGAAGGGAAGCAAATGTTTTATAAAGGATTTATTGGTTTTAACCGACTTCAAAAAAGGGAGAATTGTTTTTATAATTCGAAAGAAAAAATTAATGATCTGTAAGTAATTAAGAATAAAATATATTTTTCTGCTGACAGTAATGGCGATACTTACTTTTTTTCATAAAAACTAAAAGTAAATTCAGTCATAATACTGCACTATCAAACATACATATTTTATAATTAGTATAATTATTGTTCTAACGCTACAGAAACAAGGTTCCCTTTACCCGGCCGACGAGTTTATTACAAAGAGAACTCACCTTGATCATACTCCTAGCAGTCATCGTGTACGCTGGACTAATTACTTTACTTTGTGCTCTGTTGTTAACAAAATACATTAACATTAATACACTAAAACAAATGACATCTAACAAATACATAATTATATTCAACATAGTACATAAAAAATGTGTTTTCTATTGGCTTGAGTACTATTTAAAGTTACACTGATACAATAATGAAGATTTTTTGAATTAATATTTCTAGGTTCATGACGTACTGCAGCACCAATTAAATTTTTTTTCAGGGGAAATAAGGTAAAAAAAAATGTGTAAAAATTATTGTTAAAAAAAATTATAGCCATACATTTTGACATGCTTAAACCGAGAAACCTTCGACAAGAGCTGTGTAATCAATAAGTATCTGTTTTAAATTTACCATATATATTGCTAATCAATCAAAATTAATCTGTCATAAAGCAGCATATTATTATAACGACTTCATTAAATCTGTCAGACATGACCGTTCTGAAATGTTTTACCCAAAATGGATACCTACAGAGATTGCTTAATATTACGAAACCCATAATATTCTAAGCGCATGTCAAGGAGAAATGAGAATAGAATTATTACGTAGAAACAGAAAAAAATAATTAAGCGTTTTTTTGCAGTAGGTAACGGTTATATAGTTTTTGCGTCAAATATTATTTTATTGCGAATTCACGTCCGGCACAATCGATAATTTAATACCAGTGTTGATTATAAGCATATTAGATAAACTACTAGCGCCGGCGACTTGGACTTCATTACTTACAGTATAAATGTAATATTAACGGTATATACTTTGATGACTGAACACGTTGATAAAGTATTAAAAAATTTTACATTTATTAATTAGAAATCACAGTTTATAGTTACTACTCATTACTAAGAGATTTAGGCCGAGCGAGCGAGAACAAAGATAAAAAAAATTGACTGGGAACCAAGACTTAGAATCCCTACTAATATTATAAATGCGAAAGTAACTCTGTCTGTCTGTTACGCTTTCACGCCTAAACCACTGAACTGATTTTAATGAAATTTGGTACAGAGATAGAGTTGACCTTGAGAAAGAACATAGGATAGTTTTTATCCCAGACTTTTGAAAGGTTCTCTTGGAAACGCGATATAACCGAACTCCACGCGAGCGAAGCTGCGGGCGGAAAGCTAGTTGTTAATATAATAAATATTTTATATGTCATACCTATATATTTTTAAATGTTATTTTCTCACGTCCGCATACCGGGTGTAGTAACATGATGGATAACATTTTATAAAATACTTTGTTATTATATCGACACAATGGTAATTATTGACTTATTACGTTAACCCAGTTCCCATTGATAGTAAATGTTAAATATTTGAACGATGTCAGGACACAAATAACTGTTTGATTAATTATTATTGACTACTGTGGTCTAAAACATGACTTTGTTCGGGCCTCGTAAACATCTTTACCTAGTCAAATCTTCTATGATATGAAGATAGGGAGTACTCCATACCTCTACTCTTACATAGTTAAAACTATTTTCATTTCAAATTTCAACATTCGTAATTTAAAAGATATCTTTTTTTAATAGTACATTAGGTTGATAGCCAAGATACAGGACTTTGTGATTGAAACAGATTTTTCTAATAATTTAAAACATTGTATAATCTATGTGACAATAATGTTGCCAGCAACAATATTTATTTGAGGGATATAATATAAAAAATATATTAGTAAATAGTTAACATACAGGCCATTTCTCCCTAGCCAGTTGATAGATACGTGTGACTTTAAAAATTATTATTCGTAAAAGCATACACAAATTTCCTTTTACATTCAAAGACACGCCTCACAAAAAATATGTCCCTTCAATGCGTTGCAATATTTGCAAACAATGGCGACGCCGCCTGGTTATTAATTATATATTTGAAATAAATTGCCGATCCTGTTGTACGGATAAAGAGACGTGGGCTAAAGTGCAATGGAAATTTAAATAAATTTCATATTGTCAGTTTGTAAGGCAAATTACCACTAAAACTACAAACAGATTCCTTTTTAAATATTTTACTATTAAATAAATGTTTCGTTTAAAGTATGTGTATAAATGAGTTTCAAATGTAACAAAATATGCAATTATAACAATTGATGAATATAAAGTTATTACGATTCTCTGAATAAAACCTGACCGTGATGGGAAGCGTGTTACTTGGGTAAGCCATTGTCACACCATTGATGAGAACTCATTGTTATTTTGATTATTGCGAGTAATTTCGTGTATTACATAAATGCGAAATGAATTAAATGTTAATTTTTTTAGAGATACCTATTAACTGACTAAAATGTAGTGTTAATTAAGTAAGTTTCGTTGTATTTTATTTATTTTATAATAATAACATTCACAGAACTACGCATAACTTGTACGCAATACAGGTAAGTAGATGTTTAGTCTCCAACAAAGGTTACAGTAACCGCCTACATTCATCGCCAATGTTAAAGAGATTGTAAAACAACAGTTTATTTGTGTTTTATTTTCAATGATGACTAATATATAAATTATTTAATACAATTATGTTGAAACATCACGCACGTGTCTAATTTCATATGAAATTATTTAAAATAAATTTTATTGGAATGAATCTTTTACTACTATAGCGGCTCAGTTAATGTTTTGGCAAAAAAATTGTGCGTTGCTGTCACAGTATACTGTCCTTATGTGTAGTGAATATTTTTTCTTATATAGGTTTTCTATTAAATCAATGTACCAAAGGAATCTAGTCGAGGAACGCTGTGTACGATTGGCTGAAGCGTAGAAAAAATTAAAAGTTATCGCTACTTCGTTATGACATTCAATTAACGCTGTTAATATCGATTCTTTGTAACAAATTTATGAATGAATTTATATCCAGTGCTAATAAAATAAATATATGTCTTTCAATGGGTATTATTTATTATATTATTCCGGTAACTCACGGAATATCCACCCACACGCGTACGCCATGTAAATGTTTTTGGTAATTATATGGCGAAATTATTGTACGGTTATAAATAAAATATGGCGACGGTTTATTTAAAAATACTCTAAACGTTACTTTCACTGCCATCCGAAGCTGTTAATACATAAATCTTACATGAGATAAAGCAGTATGCTCACATAATTATATTTTTTTAAAGTTTCAGTGAATCTATGTGTTACATCTTAAAATGGCTCAATTGCTTGTGTCTTAACAATATGTTGATGTAACTGACCACTACATTCATACGTGACACATTGCAACAAACATAGTAAATATTCTGACACAAATTGTAGAAGAAACGTATTCAAATATATTTAACTCAGCCATAATGAGATTGTTATTATACATATTAGGAATAAAGATTACGTTTCACAGTTTATACTTCAATTTGTTTGTGGTTTAACTATTCTTAAAGTCACGTACATCCGAAATGGGACTTGGGATTTTTAACCTTGTTGTTTATTACACAGATCTATTGCAGGTAGATGGTAACTGTTACTTCTTTTACAGAAAACAACAAATGGCAACAATATTTGTATAGTTTAATAGACGATTTGAAAATCTTTCGATTTTGTTATTATTGTTACAAACCTCTTACCATATTTTGTGTTTAGTACAATTTGAAATTTTAGTGACGTCACGTAAAATATCGAAGCGTATTGGTGGACATAGTTTGGTGTTAAAATTTGAAAATAAATGAAAGCTAGAGTACCCAAACATTGCGACAGCCATCTAGCTTCGAGGAGTCGGTCGTAAAGATTCATGTAAATAGTTGTTAATCTACAAATGGTGTCTTACCAGGTAGCGACCTAGATCAAACATTTCACATAAAACAACCCGTGGCCAATCATTTGAAACGACGGGTTTTTTTTCCGCGAATACGCACACCTTAGAACCGGCATAGCTCAAGCCTTAAGAAACCATGGATGGAAAGTACAGTTAAATAACTTTAGAATACTCACGCAACGTTAGCCGTAGATGTTAAGAGAGATAATGTTGCAACGTATTTTTCACTAAGACACAAGTTCAGTACACTGTTATGCGGCACCTTTAATCACGTTTATTTGTTCACAGGTCAGTTCTAAATATGCGGTGTTTGAGAACTAAGAGAAGCGACATATCCCCCCATGTAATACACGCGACGGTACGCGGCGGACTGACGAACCTCGAGCGGAGGCCGGAGAGGGGCTAACGCCGTTGGACGGAACATGGCGCGCGATCTTGAAATCTCCCACTCACTGCATTCGAAAACTTCTAAAGTATCTGATAGCTGATCTATATAAGCTAGTATTATTTTCTAAATTCATTTAATTAATTATAGCTACTTTGTTTCACAAATATACAAATTTATATGGCCTTATCTTCATCTTTATACCTTCTATCGCTTCATTTAGTATTACATTTGACACCAACTAAATAGATGTGTTTATATGTACAAATTTGAAATTATTCAAACATTTCTTCCCAAAGGATTAATGAATTAAAAAATTACTTAAATAAAAAAAATGATAATTATTAATTATATGTTAATAACAATTTATTTGATAAAATATATACAAAGTTCAATAATACTTGATCTGATTCGTTTACCGTTAAAAACGGAAACAAAATTTATAGTCAATTTACCTACTTCCATGCAAACAAATTTAATTAATAAGTAATAAGACCAATTACAGATATCGATTTTATAATTATATATAAATATTTAATTAGGAATCAAATACAGTATCACTACCAAGTGGTAAACATGCAGACATGCCGATCACCTTGTGAAGGGAACGGCTGAAATTAATGGATTTACGTTACTTATTCATTTTATATCTGTATGTAGGAGTCGCCATTCGGTGCGGCCATAAACAATTTTTACAACATCAATAGTCATTTGAAAAATTACTAAAGTTAATGTTTTTATTTACCTACATCTTTAAGAATAGTAAATGCTTACTAGTATGATATAAGTAATAGTATATTTCATTGAATAATTTTAATATGACAGTATATAATTGATAAATAGGTAGCCACAGACTTAATAAAACTTTTTTTTAATCTGTAATATATATGTACTATGATACTTTACGTAGTTCAAAGTTTCGAATCTTAAATTAGGTTTACAATTAATAATAACTTGTTACAAATATTATATATGTGTCTAATTAATGAATAACGAACCACTTTGACGTTACAGTAGATTAAGAACGCTGTGAATTATTGCTGTGTTTGTTATAAATAAAATTGACCCGCATATTTATTTGTTGCATATTCTTAAACAATTACATCATCTTCATGCACAATTCATATGTATTGTAGCTGTCCCCTGTGATTTTGTTTCTCTTTCTACTTGGCCTCCAAGGGTTTACGTGGCATTATATGTATTTGTATGCTGTAGCCTTATTAACCACTCTTTTATCATTTCATAATAACTAGGTCTAAATTAGTTCAGCTTTTAAAAGAAATACCTGAAATAAAAAATAAGAAAGAACAAAGTGGCCATAAACGTTAAAAAAATATTATAAAAAAAACACATTCGAAAAAAAATCTTTTTATCCTTAAATGCTATTTTCATTTAAGTATATCCATGCTTACGTGCATAAAATAAATAAAGGTAACTAGTTTTTTATGTTAAATATTGTAAAATGGCTAATAAATTTACTGTTAATATATAAAATACGTGTTTTGGAACTGATTAGACATTCTAAAATTTGAGTTTTTAGCGTCATTTTATGACTTCCTCTCGAGTTATAGTTTCCTGGTAGTTTGAACAGTTAGCTTTACTATATACACACTATTATAGTGTTTGACCTGAAATTACAATATATTATGTAACAAGTTTAATGTCACCGTTGAAGGGTAATAATAGATAATTCTAAATTATGAGATATTGAATAAATTCTATATTTATTATTATTTATTTATGTGTAAGTTTGACTGAAGTATTAGATGTAACCACCAAAAGGATTTAAGAATAATAATTTGTGTTGATCTCCATTTGTTTCTACATTAAGGTATGGCTAAGATTTGTTTTTCATTTTACAGAACTTTTGTCTGTAAAAAATGGAATGAATTAAAATTATATAAAAAAACGTACATAGATATATAGAAGTTTGTGGTTTTTATATTTATCTGTTTTCGTTAAATTATATTAAATTTACATGAAAAATTTTTGCTATTCATTTTTAACAGGCGCTTTTACCTAAATTAAATAGTCATATTTACTTACTAGTTAGAATTCAGAAGCGCCTGATTGAAACTGATTTAAAATGTATATACATTAATTCTTACTTTTACATGTGTGTGAATTGTGATGTTTTATATTAGCTTAAGGGATTCTATGTTTTATATCCATTTATTTATAACTGTTATTATTTATATCATACAAATAATTGTAATAACCTGATTTTGTATTAAGACAAGTTAATGTAGATAAGAGATTAGAGTGATTAAATAACTACACGCGAAAGGAAATTGTAAAATTACAGAATCACGATCAATGCAACGGTTATAATTTTATTTAGTATAGTGATCTATGATGAAATGATTACTAAACTAATATTACATTTACTTATAATTAAGATGAAAAATTGCATCGACATTTTTGTTATAGGGAAAAGATTTGAAATAAGTCATAATTGAACTCATAGATGCAATTTGAAACGCTAATTTGTTGACAGATATTTTTTTTAATTTTCACTGGCAACCAATACACTGATTGAAACTAATGTTTTGTTGATATACTACGCGAATTTATTTTTGACATCTCGTCTGCCTGTAATCACAGTTGCTGTAAAGTAGAAGAAACGTCGGGAGTATGTAGTTATTATTAAAAATAAAGTAACGTAGTATATCCGCAAAATATTAGTTTCATTTAAATGACTCGCGAAAATCTCATATAATAAACACACTGATCGTTAGAATTCATACTTTTTTTATATTTTATTCTTTAACATACGTGACGAAGTGTTTTATTCAGTTTAATTAAGTCTTTACTTCAAGATCCATATAATTGTCGTTACAGTAAGCGCGGGATTATTTCTGTTGAATCACATTTAATATATATCATTAAGATCCCGCTGTGATAACGTAATATTAACATTTTTCTCTCACGTCAATATGACTCAATAATGACATACCAACAGCATCAGTGATGATATAAGCTATGTGTTCACGTTCATTATATATTCCTGTGTGATGAGAGGAACTGTAAACCAAGGTGCAACTTATCATCCAGTTATAGAACTTGATGATTTGAAGACTAGGCTCGGGTTATGTTATACAATTGAATATATATTTCTCTCTAGCTGAAGGTAGAATTACAGCTTACAGCTTTACAGTTTAGAGCTTTACAGTTTTTAGCTTTACAGCAGTTGGCTGAACTTTGACTGAAACAAAGATATTAGGAAATACTGTCTGTGTTTGATTGTAAGTATTTAAATTTATTTTACATTCAAAATGTACTAATATTATCATTACGTTGACAGTATGAGGCTGACATGAACATGTTTAATAATATAAAGATATTAAAAATAAAATAGTATTTCATAACATTTCACGTCGAAAATTATATAAAAATTGTTGTCTGATATTGTGTAATAGCAGTATGCTTACTGCAAGTCCCTCACTACACGACAAGACTCAAGACTATTTCACTTGTAACTCTCATCACATTCTAGTATTAACGTAGGTAGCTAGGTATGCATAATGCATATAAAGTTTATTTCCTAGAAGACCTGGCTGAAGACTTAACCTTTACCTAAGCTCGACTCACATAATGGGGTAATTTAATTGTAGTATCTATAAAATGCTACGTGCCCATTGCTTTATATAGTTACTAGATGACCTAGAACTTAATACTTAATAAATTACGTAAGCTGGTAACAGTTGATAATTAAATGTTGCAATTCAAACATGCATACCCAATAAATTCCTGTTGTGTGGCGTTTCTACGTCGCGTTATGACATTTAGTTTACTCAATAAAAATATACTATTAATTTTAAATCAATTTATTAATTCCTTTGTTTTATTGAAAATATGAGAAATACTAAAAATGGTGTTAACAATATGTATGTGTTACCGAGTTGTTGGAGTTAATCAAGATTATAGAGAATAGATAAAAGTATCTTACTTTTCTGTTTATCATAAGAAATATACAAAGTCGATGTATCTTCTTTCCATATTTGTTGATTGTAGGTCAGGCGACGTTTCTAGAATATTACTTATAGTGACCTGAGGGTCATTGAACTCGCTATGACCGTTTAAATCCTACACTTTTTCTTGTAATCTTTACATTGAATTCAATAAATGCTTCAGTATTACTCAACACTATGAAATTTCAAAGTTGACGTGTGTCGTTGTCATTTACTGTAAAAGATTTCGCAAAATTTTTTTAACACACCTTATATTCATAAAAAATAGCGACGTAAAATCGTTATATTTGCAATATATTACAAAAAAATAAACAGTCATTGAATAATATTCTCTACACGATGACAAGAAATAAATAAAAATTATAACGAACCTATGTAATTATATATATAATTAGCAATAGTACATATGTATGTATATAAAAGCATACGTTAGTAAGTACTTATTGGCGACGTGAACCATTAGCCTGAATAATAACCTACATGGTGTTTGGTACAAGTTACAAGATGATTGAGTTTCTTTGACAACATAGTGTTAATATGATATCAAGTACAACCGCTGCTTATTAATAAAACCTATTTGGGACCTCCTTTAAATCTGTTCGGTAGTTAGAACGTAATTGAATAACAAATACACAAACATGCATCTATCAATATTTTCTACTTATAATACATAGGTGACAGTTTGATAATTTATCTATAGACAATTCACAATGAATGAAAAAAAAATTTTAATATCAGAATTAAATAAATAATATAAAACTATACCTGAATTATAAAAAATAATTTTAGAATATAATTCATCCCGAAATTTCGTGTAACGTAAAATACGAACAAGAGATGGCACTATCAACCAATAGTTCCGTTAAAATCACGACATAGAGCTAGTATATCATTCTCTTAATTATTTTATTTGGAAAGCTATACAAAAAGGAAAAGAACATGACTCTGTGGCTGTGACGTATGAACATAATACTGTTTAATGTATTCAACACACTGTGACATTAAGAATACGAATAGCAATGTATAATTAAAGTAGTTTTCATGAAGTGATACGAAACCGTTTACGAGAATATTTAAGATTTAATGAAGGTCTCAGCATGTTCTCAAGAGACGACAACCAGTTCACTCCATACATTGTCGTCTGTAATTGAAGGCTCGTGAGTCGTGAGCTGGTGCCAGCTATAGCTCATATCTACATAATTAACATTTTTATTTCTAAGGTTGTTTATGGAACAGAACTTGTTCCTTGGCAAAAAATTTTATGACGACATTTTGGAATCTAAAATATATATGCATATGTAAACAACAGGAGCTGTTGAGAGTATTTGATTTACATTAGAGACAGAGATTCTATTTTCCTTTTCCCGTAAATCTAGCCCCATTTAAACTAAAGCTAGGTTCACACTCTTACGTAAAACCATAACTACAACATGGCAACTATTTTTATACATAGTATTTCAAAGTCTGATGGATTTTAGTAGTAACAATAAAACAAATGATTTATTTAGAAAAAAATAATATCACAGTAGCGGAAATTATGTAACGATATGTAAGACACAATTATTAAACAAATTTAACTATCTGGACACATTTAGAACTTACAAGAATAGTCCAAATTTATATTGAAATAAACTTTCATATCTATTTGTCACATATTTTAATTTTTAAAACGACTTTAATTTGCACTTCTTTGTAACAAAACAAAATTCTTATAAATCATTTTTGTAAATTTTATCTCTGTTTAAAATTATTTAACAAAATATGTCAATCTTACAACTTGCGCCACAAGCTAAGTAGACAAGAGTGGCATTATATTGTCAATGTGGTTTACAAAGTCAAAGTAAGCGCCGCGTTGAAATCCTAACGGTCTTATTGAGTATTATCTAAGTAATATGGTTTTCAATGGACTGATGTGGCTAGGAGATGTGTTTTATTATTGAGATTAGTAAAGCAATCTCTATACTCACAGACGTGATGTATGCAACCGCATAGTGATGTGCTGCATATACATATATTAAATATATGAACCGATTAATTAAATTAAATTATTTATTCTTCTCCAAACGAGCGTAAAAGTTCATTTATAGGCTAGATAGTTATAAGAAACGTTACTCAGCGACATAAATCAGATAGATAAACAATTTGCAAGGTTCATTGGTCAAATATTCGCCCCGAGTTATACATATAAACGGAATGGTATTATAATTTGCACCTGTCACTTCGCTACCTAAGGCCTCATCTAACACCTATCTACCAATCTACAGTCTAGAATAGGGATTGGCTCGACTTAGATCAAATAATGATCTGAGTTATAACTTATGTTATACATGCTGTAACATTATTTTAAATATATACAGGGTGACTGGTGAATTACTATCGATATTTGAGGACGTGATATTTGACGATCATTTATGACAAAATAAAAATTAATATAACATAAATATTAATAAACTTCTAAGTAAAGTTAACCAAAAGTTATGTAATTAATTACGCATCGTATGAACACCCTACAGATTAGGTATACACACACACTCACACATACCGCGCGCGTCCACACTTGGAACACTTGGAACGTGTACACACTTTATTTATTTATACGGAAATTTGGTCAAAAATTAAGTGCCTATTTTTTTTACATAATTCAAATGAGAATCATGTACCGAGTATGCTCCTTAAATATTGATAGTAATTCACCAGTCACCCTGTATATATATAGCGTATTCTCTATTTGTATAATTAGTAGCACTTACTTCAATTTATTTCTATGAAAAATATATATTATAATGAGATATAAGATTTTTACGAAACTAATATTTTTCAGAAACTAATATTTTTCGGATTTACTACGCGATTTCATTTTTAATAAAAACTACATACTCCCGACGTTTCGGTTACTTTACAGCAACCGTGATCACGGGCAGACGAGATGAATGATCATGGTTGCTGTAAAGTAGACAAAACGTCGGGAGTATGTAGTTTAAAAGACGAAATTTCTCAGCATTCCATGGATTCACCGTGCGGGTGCCGGGTCCATCGCGTTGCAGGGGGAGGAGCTTCAACAGTGCCTGGGACTTGCGACCCAAGTGTAGGTTTAAGGGGCCCCTTAACTAACGCGCGTTATACGCTCACCTCCACTGTCCAAGCTCCTCTCCCTACCTAACCAAATTTGAAAAGAACCTACTAGGGCTGCCTTCGATGTACGTTCCAAGAATGCATTAATGTGAGTTCTGGACAAGCCCAAGTCCTTTAGTAGGTTATAGAGAGATTTCGCTGTTATACCTCTCGCTCCCACCTCTACCGCGTACAAATCTACTACGAACCTATTTCGAGTGAGTTCGTTTGTGAGCTCGTAATATTTGTTGACCTTGATGGTATGGTCTTTGGGGATGTTGGTTTCCCAAGGGACCGTAAGCTCTATCATCACTACGCGCTTTAAAATTCGCGAAAACAAAAATATATCCGGTCTGGAGGCCGACGCACAAATATCCTCGGGGATTTTATATTGTTTAAAATATAATCGCGTAGTACATCCGAAAAATATTAGTTTTATTTAAATATATTTTTTTAGTATTTGAAATAGCTAATGTTGTGAGCATAGTAACAGATAGAGGTATTATTAATTGCGTCACCTAACATGGACCTATCAAGTTGACTCAAGCTTAAGGCTTTATGTTAAATACAACTAGATATTATTTTATATTAAGTGACAAATTGTACGTTTTAGATAAAATGAAATAAATAATTATTGAAATCTTTCAATACATTTCAGCTAACACGAAGGCAAAAGGATTTTGTTTAAGATTTTTTATTTTAATAGGAACAAGTAAAAGAATATAGATTTCTAAGAAAAATATATATTTTAAAATAAATATGTTTTTGTCCAAACTTACTAAAATGATAAATATCATGTAAGGACTTATGTAAAAGTTAGTAAATTCTTAGTTAGTGCGATTTCAATTTGGTTTCTGTATCAATTTGTTTTGTTCGAGTCTCGTCAGCAGACTATTTTTTGTACAAATAGAAGGATTTTGTTTACGTTATCCTTGACTTTTCCCGTTTCATGATTACAATATATTTATTTATTCGCGTGACCTTTTATCAAACGGTAACATTGTTATTCTTTACTCTTAATATATACTCTTAAAATACTCTTAAAAATTCGTCATTTTACTTTATTTCTATATTGGTATTGAATATTTGTATAATTTTCACAGATGTATGTAAATCTGTTTTATTACCAAGATAACGTTTTAGGACTGTTAAGTATTTTAAGAGGCTGTTGAATATAAATTATATATTGCTATCCATTAAATGTTTATTGATTCAGTACAACCCACAGAATAGGAAGCTAAATCTAAAATTATGTAAAAAAATATTTGTGATATACATGTATAAGTAGATGAAATTAAATATAAAACATATTAAACAAAATAATTCAATGCAGTAATATTAAAATTAAATTAACTTAAGAAAAGATGTCTTTATTTTTAACCATTTTTTTTAATGAAACTAATATTATTCGGATTACTGAGCTTATTTTATTATTTTAAACTACATACTCCCGACGTTTCGGTAACTTTTCAGCAACCGAGATCACGGACACACATTTTTTTTCATTTATACAATTTTATATAAAGAATCTAAAATAAATAATATATTTGCTATCAACAACTTTAAAATAATCTGTGACGCCGGCTGTATGAATATAAAACTGTTTTAATTATACTATGTACCATTCGTACCCGGAAGCGTATCACGAGAATGCAACTTTTAATTTATTTCATATTATTTCTATGTCACGGTAAGAAAACTTTAAATTGCGTTGTACATATTATTAATTTATTATTATTTAATATTAACAAAAAAAAACATTTCTATTTTAGAACGTTTTACAAATGGTAAACTTGATAACATAAATGAACCTATCGAAATTAATATCAACGACCTTGAAAAATATTTGACGAACTTAAAAATAAATCCAAACGATTATGAATCCAGTCTCAACGCTCTGTATCCATCGAGGAGTTACGAAATGAAGGAGTTAACACAGGATGAAGTTAAACAAATACAAAACAAAAATATTAAGGACATACAAAAGTATCTTAACTACTCTATTCAGAAACGAAAAAGCAATCTTCAAAATGCTATAGATTTCTATGCCACATATTTTCAGAGTAATTCCTGGAATCCAGTTCTTATTGCTGAGAATTACTCAAATAAAATGAATTTATATTTCAATAAAACATTTCATAAAGACGACGCCATTAACGATATTGACAAGCATTTCGTTATACTAGATATTGTGGAGACTTCCAATAACTTGTTGTATAAGGTTCAACTGAATATACTACACAATGAGACGAACCGTCACAATTATTCTGCCAGCGCTATGAAAAAGTTTTACAAGCTATTGGACGATCTTAACAAAGACATCAGGACAGATAAAGAAGAAGAAATGAAGTATATATGTGCAAAATTTGAAATATGCAGAGCCTTTCCCGGCTTTTCCGATCACATATCCGATTTCTTGGGTGATATATTAAATTATTCCGACGGTAACATCACTGATATTTATATACTGGCGAAAATATTAATAAAGGAAAAGATAAATTACTTCAGGAATTTCTTGGATGATGATTTGATTGAGAGTATTGGAGACAGTTTAAGCTACATGTTTGGAGGTGACGAGTCTGAGTTAATTGAAGTTTTCTCACTGTTCAGAAAGATGTTGAGTGGACGGCACAAATTTTCAGTGAGGAAGAACATCGACAAGTCAGTAAGAGCTAAGGTCATCCGTCTCCTGATAGATATAGTTGATAAAACCTTCGTGAAAGATGACGACGAAGTTTACTTGATGTACATTGATATGACGAGGAAGAGTCTTCGGAAACTAACGTCGATGACCGAACATCAAATGGGAAAAATGTTCAGTGACTTCATACGTTATATTATAAACACGATAAAATATAACTGGACACCGGACTGTAAGAGGGAGGTCAGAACGCTTTTAGAAGTACTGATGAAGAACAGCGTTACTGACAGAGATGTTTATGAATATCTTATTAAAAAAGGTTCCCAGTACGTGAATACTAAACCGCTGAGTGATATTGATCTGGTTTGAAGACGTTAATATAATACATATTAAAGTTGCTTGTTTTATGATATAAAAGTTTCCTGATAGTTTCCAACATCGCCAGATTCCTCCTCTCCTTACACCTTAAAATGTATTAAATGAAACTCCGGCTCGTGCCTCCAACAATAGCGTTTTATGGCGTACAATCGCGGTATTTACTACGGTTTTGTAAAGCTTTAGTCACACTACGCTTTTATAAATTACTGTTAAATCATTCTATAAAGACTATAGTTTCTAAAATTTGTCTAAGAAAGATAAACGTCACGTTCTTTTATTTAAATTTAAACAATTTTTTTTTTCTAAGGAATACTGTTATACATTTATTATATTGTATAGAAACTAAGTGAATATGGAATTCCAACTATATAACTCATATAATTATTAACAAATCCGGATATTTCTACATAAGTCAGTCACAGAGCGAGTGTGGCAGCGGCCTATGGTTACAGTATTAAAATTATATCCGTAGGTACAAATGGAATGCTGGAACCTGATTGGAAACCGATTTACAATCGATTGTTCCTTTTTCACCGCTTAATATGGATTAAAAACACGGACATTGAACTTTATGATTATATGCACGTCTTGTGTTTTATTTTAAGACGGCGTTTCGGGAATTAACGACTCGAGAAAACAATGATCCCATCAATCCAAGCTCACTCGCTACTGGCGCCGAGAGACCTTTACGGGACTTCTACGGAAAGATCGCGAGGACAGGAGTTATTGTGAATAAAAACATACACATATGTTATGCCCTTTTTTGATATTAATGATAAATTTAGAAATTTTCTTGAAAATCAAGTCGTATTGATTGACAACTTTTTCTTATGTATTCAACTCGTAACCAGATACAATTTTGTATTACAATAAAATTATTACATATGACAGCTTTATCAATCTGTGGATTATATGTCGTCATTATTCCTAGGAAAATAAGTTTAATAGAAATTATAAGATACATATAAATGTCAAGAGGCCGCGTCGATTGCTTCATACCAGGTAGAGCTAGATATGAAACATTTGGACCCGAGTATTGCGGAATGACTAACATTTGAACCTAAACAAGTTTTAATAATGATAAAAAACAGGCAATTAGTAGGATTCCTATAAGGATGCAATATGCTGTATTAAAAATTATATAACTGTTACATGTCATAAGAGATAAAGAGACGGATATTACCAGAAAGTAACTATTAATACGTAGAATATACTTATAGCAGTGTTCAATAATATACGGAATACTAGAATCTCTCAAGACGTAGTTTTTATATAGGGAATTAATTTAGACTCTAATGAGGTCTAAGACTTTCGCCAGTATTCATTTAAATGAAACTAATATTTTCGGATTATACTACGCTTATTTTATAATTCGCGGTTGCTGAATAGTAACCGAAACGTCGGGAGTATGTAGTTTTTACAATAATGAAAAACGCATAGTAATCCGAATAATAATAGTTTCATTTTAATTTCGACTCTCCCAAATGACATCTTGCACTTAAGAAATGGGAATTTTCTTTACATCATTGACTCTGGATGATCTTAATTATTTAAAATATAAAGATATTTTTAAGAAGTTTATATATATGTATAATTAGCATAAGGTTTTTCTCATTAACCACGGAACTCTAAAAATAACATTTACCATATAAACTGAAGAAATAATTTCATTAGAATAAATATAGCGTATCAAAGTTATATTGATAATAATTAATAAGCAGTCTATATTCAATGACAAGGTTGTGTGTTCACTTAGGATGCATACTGAGATGGGTTTTAAAAAACTATTCCTACATCATGTTAAGCATTTTAATATTATATTTTTATGTTCCATTAAAATTAATTCTACAGATCCAGTTAATCTCAATACTAGCTTGTCAAGACTGTACATCGTGTGAACTCAGCCTTATCAATGTTCAAATGATTTCTATCTTGTCCTGATTGGTTCATCAAGCTCTTAGATTCCTTATTTCTCCTCGTTTACCTCGTTCTATTAGAATAACAGATTTCCTGATGTCGTTAATTATGAAAGAACTTAATTAAAGTCGATTGGAAAGAACTGATTGATACATCAACCATGAAATGACTTAAATGAAACTAATATTTTCGGATTTACATACTACATACTCCCGACGTTTCGGCTACTTTACAGCAACCGTGATCACGGGCAGACGAGATGTGAGTCCACTCACGTCAGGAGTATGTAGTTTATAGTCAAACCTAAAAAACGTGTAGTAAATCCGAAAATATTAGCTTCATTTAAATGAGAACTAGCGAAAATCTTAGATCTCATTATATGAAGTGACTCCCTCTCATAATGATAACTACTTGTATTATTATAGCTTATAACTAATGTATATGAAATAAATTTTGTTAGGAATCTTCTGAAGAAACAAAAGAAAATGTTTATTTAAATAACAGACATTAAATACATTATTTTTATTTCATATTATTTGATAAATATATATAATAGTTTTTAAGTACTAGTTAATAGGTTATGTATTTCTTTGTTTGTGAGAAAAAGTCTAACTATGTTTCTGCTAGATACAGGACAGGAAATTATAGAAGTTGATTATGAATGTTATCAAATGATGAATGGAGGCTGGGAGGCTATAAGTCTTGTGCATGTCGGATGCTGGGCCGGCCGATAATTTGAATATACGAGATATTACAGATATGTTCTCAAATGAATGAGTACTTCTAAATAAAACCAATTAGATATAAAGATGTAGCTCATACATAAATAACTAGACATTTTATATACAATTTCAATCCTTTGTACGGATATGGACACAAAAGATCAGTATATTCTCGTTTTAAATTATTATTATAAATCTTCATAAATTATGACTGAAAATATAAATTTCATTGTTTAATTGTTTTTCATTTCAAAAATATGATATACTGTTAATAAAGTTCAAAGCGATCTCATTCAGACCGACCTTGCTCCCTCGATTCTTTGTAATGTCTGTTAAATTTCAATTCATTATAATCAAATATTTACACAAAGCGTTCCGTTTCAACGGAATGAACAAACATTCATTTGAAACAACTTCCTTAAGCTGAAAATGAATTAAAATAAATTAATTAAAGTCTATAATTACATCAGTATTCAGATGCATCCATCGAGCCTGTATTTTATTATTTTTTTGTTGTTACTCACACATCACGACACGATAACGATCAGACGTCGCGTCAAACGTCACATACGATTCCATACTTGACGTAGAGATGCAGTCAAAATAACACGGAGTCATATTTGTCCTTATTTTTATGAAGAAAAATGTTTTAATATAATATAAAGAAATAAATTTAACGCAATATTAAAAAATATTATGTATCATATATAAATCATAGCGGTGAAAGTGAGAAGTAATATATTTAAATGAAACTAATACTTTTCGTTAATACTCGTACTACATGATTTTATTTTTGTAAAAAACTACATACTCCCGACGTTTCTTAACTCTCGTTTCTTAAAACCTAGATCTCATTTTGTAAGAAATATATGTTTATATTATTATACTTTATACAAGACAATTATTATAATTGTAATATAAATTTATTGTGTTTTGATTTTAAATTAATTATAAGGTAAGATACACTGTTTTTGTTACTAAAACTTTTAAATAGGAAACTGTTACAAGAAAGTTCAAAATATTCAAAAATAAAATTTAATCATGCAATACTTACTGATAGTATATACTTAAGCATGCGTAATTATAACTTATTATTTACTAATATAAGGTCCAATACAATTGAAATTTACTTTTTTACACAAAATTTATCCTATTATTTGTATTAAGGCTTTATATTCAGAACAATAGGTATTATAATAAAGTGACAAATAAATAACAGTTAATAAAACAATACAATGTTCCTGACAAAAATGCAAAATGAAACTATAATTTAAAAAACATTTTAAACACGATTCACTTAAATCTTTCTTCCTTTACGATCCACTTTAATACTTTAGTTTCATTGTTTCAAACTTTGATAACCTGTAAGATTACTACAAGTCAACATCGTTACATTACGTACGGAGCGTGAGTAGTAGAGTAGTAGTAGTATTAATATATATTCACACATTAGTAGCATAGCATTAACATAAGTGATGGGATAAGAAACGAGAAAAATTTCGTTTGTAGAATATCGATGCAAAGGGTTCGTAACCCACTACATAAGTACATACATACGGTGCGATAGGTTTTTCATTTAGGAATCTTCGCATTATACATATAACCCCCTATAGGGGCCTCTTAAACCTACACTCCCAGTCACAAGTCCCAGGAACTGTTGAAGCTCCTCTCCCTGCAACGATATACCCGGGACCCGCGCAGTGAATACATTGAATGCTAAAAAGTTTCATCTCTTAACTTCATTGAATCAGATACGAGTAACGCATCGTATTGTGACAATGGAAACCTGTGGTCAGCGTACTGTTATTACTATTTATAGTAATAATCAAAATCTTTACCATCCACCGGTCGCCAGTTGACGGCACGCTCTGTATCGAATACAATCTGACAGAATGACGGCCTTTAACATATTACATTTAATGAGCTACAACACATGTACCGACGATCTATTCATTGATAATTTGAATTTATATAATTAATTTTATATTATCATTAAAAGACGCATATCCGTATTTTTTTTTTTATATCAAACAAGAAGTTGATATTTGTTGACGTATTATGTACTACATAAACATACAGAGATACATAAAAGCTTTATTCTTGTATATAACTATGAGTTTCTGTTTATTTTTTATATATACGTCTCCTTATCTTAATTACAATTCATTTTATTTATCTTACGTTCAGATTTTATGGTAAAGAACATATCAAAATGTTATTAATGTACGCATTATAGGACTAGATTTAGATAGTCCAGGAACTATGACTATTAATATAATTGATAAAAACTGCAATAGATATTTGGCACCAGTGGTCATTAGTCATTTGGTTTAAATGAGTGTTTTCAGATGTTCTAATTTGGTAGCGTTAATAACCCGAGTAATGCGGTTCGTTTTCCGCAACATTAAGATAACCGCCGTTTGATGCTGGCGGTGCACCAATGTTTTATAAGTTCATAATAATTAATCTCTGTTTGTAGAAAGCATTCAAGTTTACACGATACGACACGACAAAATATCGTGTCGTCTGCATCCAGCCAATAACTATTTTACTATTTTTTATAGAACTAATATTTATCTCTGCATAAGTCAGTATTAAATAGATGTGTTCTAAAACACTTCTGTGAGCACACCACGTTCTTATAAAACGTAACATTCATTATTAATTTTATATCACGTTCTAAATTTGTGTTTTAAATATATTATATAGTTGTACATATTAATTTAAATGTACTTTAACCGTCATTTCTATAATTATTATAGTTTTCTTCTATTTATATTATGTAGATATGAGTACAAGATATTTATTAAAATTGCTTTGTCATAAACACGACGAAAATTAATTTATGAATTATTAAACATTTTCAGTAAACTTTTATATACATATTTACTTTATGTATTTTTATATAATCTTCTGTACATTCAATCTTTGGAAAAATCACTTAATATTTTTAAAACATCATAGAATCCAATTATTATTATTAAACAAAGTCGTGAAAGTTAAGCGGGGTCAAGGTCCGCATCGAGTCAGTGATGTGACAAGATCAATAAAGTGACAAATGAACAAAGATTGTGAATACAAAGAACAAATGTTTATGTTTATTTTGTAAAGGCTCAGACTGACATGTTGTGTGTCGGGATGCTTCACACTGAAAGCGGCTCGACCGCCTCTATATACTAAATATACATGTCTAAGATTAAAAATATACATAATAAAGACTTAAAATTAATGTAAAATTTATAAAATTCAGTGATTATAAGTATGAAAAGACATAAGATTTAAATGAAATTAAGGATATATATTAGTCGCATTACGCAACAAAGACGTTGTAGGACCGTCCACTTCAAATTGTTTGTGATATCAGTATGAGAACGGAAAATAAAAGTAAATTAAATAAACATTTGTTATTTGTATGAAGTTATCAGTAACAAGAAATAGCAAATAAAACTCGATGAGAAGGCTGTACACTTGGCAGATTGAGTTCTAGGAATTAGGTGTAATTACTAATTGATAACAAGACTTGCAATACAACATTACTGAACATTCACAATGTATTATTATGAAACTATAACGATACTATAAGAGGTGTGAAACATAAAGATAATTAATAATTATTCTCATAATAGATATGTGATATTTCTTTTAAGTCTTGAACGTCAACCGGTTAATACTTATTCACTGGTAGAATGACAATAAAATCATGATACAAACTAACTAAAAAAAGATAAACATAATGAGATCTAAGACTTTCACGAGTATTCATTTAAATGAAACTAATAGTATTCGCATTATATGCGTAATTTATTCTTACTTTTTTAAAATAATAAAATACGCCTATAATGCGAATAATATTAGTTTAATTTAAGGTAAACACGGAACATATTAAACAATTGCTATTAAATTATATAATGTATCATACAAAACAAATGAATGAATGAATGAGATCAAATAGAATTAGCCTTCAGAGGTTTATTAGTGTTCCGGATTATGAATAAGAAGAGATATTATTTCTCTGTGTGACAATTTATCTATCAAAATGTTTATTTAATTAAAAAATATTCAGTACCTAATTACTTTTAAAGATTTATTATTGTATTTTTTTATTATATAATCCACTATTTTTTTAAATAATATAACACGTGATTGCTCCGCGGCAAAAGACGAAGCTTAAGATAAATAATTTTTAGAAATTGGAGTAAATTATATTTTTTGTATACATGTAATATGCTGATTTTAAAAATGAGCTTCTTCAGGCTTCACAGTATATAGCAGTACAATGAGTACTACAACATAGTATGTTGTGGTTTGTCAGGCTTTATCATTATTTAAGGACTTATCAACGTATTTACCTCACAAGTTTTTATAAACAGTTCTATTGATAACGTAAGTCTTGTAATTCTTTGTTCTTTTAAACTGTTATCTTTACACGTGAGAATGATTACAGCAGTTATTTGTTTGGTTAGTTATTTAATAAGATATTATTTAACTTGCTGCATTTATTTTAAAGTATATAGATGTAAGTGTACAATTTTCAATTCATTTGAAGAGTTATGATAACGAATATTAATTACGAAAACACCGAATATCTGCATGATGATCAAATGTTAAGTAAATGGATAAATATTATATTAATTGCCTGTGTGCTTAAAAATAGGATAATAAATCATAAAGTCAAACAAGATCGCAGTTGTCTGTCTGAGATAAGATAAGGTCGGGTCCGCAGTCAGTTTTAGTCCAACCATGGACAACTTTGGTTATCGCGAGATGGGGTGGCCGTCACCTCTCCAAACCCCGACCCCTACATCGAATAGATCCCGACTTCAGCGAAGCTTTAGTTCCCGTTCGAGAGAACCTGAAGAATATCCGTTAAAAATACCCTTTAAACATGTTCGCAGCATCGATTTACTTGAATCTGCTCAGGAGCCGCTTAAAGCTAAAGAATACTTATTTGTTGGACCCTCGCCGCCCGCCGAAGATGCTCCGAATATGTACCAAAGTTTTGATATACTCGCTCCAGATCCCGAAGCCAGGCTGACCGAAGATATGATAAGAAAGTCCCTCTGTGAAAAAGCACTTACACTAGGAGCAGGCAGATTCTTTGATGATCTCGAATGTGGTTTGATCACAGCCGAAAATATAGAAGAACATATAAACTCTGCTCCGGAAATCGTCGTTAATTTAACATTATTGTGGGCTGCATTTCTTACCCGTGACGAATTATTGCCAGCTATTATTGAAGCTGGTGCAGATATACATTATTCAGAACCCGTGGGTCTAACAGCACTTCACATCGCCTCTTTCAGCGGGGCCTCTAGGGCTGTAGGATATTTATTGGCTATCGGAGCCGATGTAGATTTTGCTCCAAAATATTTTGCACCCCTTCATTGCGCTGCATTTGGAAATTCTTTAGAGGTGGCTGAAATGCTGATCTGTAATGGTGCCTCCTTGCATGCTGTTGTACAAAGAGCTGGCTGTGAAGACAATCTTGTTCATTGTGCTGTAAGAAATGATGCATTGGAATGTATGGAATTATTTATTGAAAAAGGTGTTGATCCAGCTTATATAACATCCGGAGGATTAAATGCACTTCACTTAGCAGCAGAATTGGGAGCACATAGGTGTCTATCATTTTTGTTAAAAGAAACGAAACTGAGCGTAAATGGAGTAACAAAACAAAGAGATAAAGAATGTACAGCATTACATTTGGCTGCTTCAAGAGGATATACTGAGTGCGTGGAACTGTTGTTATCGGAAGGGGCAAAGGCAAATACTAAAAATTATAGAGGCTTCACTCCACTTCATCTTGCTGCTAGATGTTCTGGATTAGAATGTGTTGAGGTCCTTCTGAGAGATGGAAATGCTGATCCGAATGCTGAAGATCAAGATAAACGAACCCCTCTTCACGCTGCCATTTGTAATTCAGACCGTGCTTGCGATATCATCGATATGCTTGTAAGTTGGGGAGCACAAGTTAATAAAAAGGACGAGTATGGATATTCACCTCTCCATTTAGCAGCGATGGACGGTTTAACACAATGTGTCGAAACATTAATCTTCCTCGGAGCCGACGTCACTTCAAAATCTAAAAAAGGCCACACAGCATTGAGTGTCATAGTTAGAAAGACACCGAAATCACTAGCTATTTTAAGACATATTTTAGATAGTGGAATTTCAGTAAGTAGATCTACAGAGGGCAATGAAGAAGTACAAATAGAATTTGATTTCGGTAAACTGTTAAAATATTCTTACCCTCGAGAGATCACGTATTTAAACAGTTTGATTGATGAAGGTCAAAAAGATATCCTTCAGCATCCTTTATGTTCCGCATTCTTATTTATGAAATGGCGTAAAATTCGTAAATTTTATCTCGCTAGACTTATCTTCTGCTTTCTATTTGTTTCCTTTTTATCTATCTATGTTTTAACTGCTGTAGTAAAAACATGTAAGGGGAAGTATTCTAAAAAATATGGCGTACCGAATGAACTGTGTCAACATCAATCTATACTAGGTGACATTTTAGAAGAAAATCCGATAGAATTTGAAAGGTGGATATTAATAGCAATCACAGCTTTTGAGATAGTAAGAAAACTGACAGGTATTACAGGTTATTCTAGCATGTATCAATATTTCACTACGTTCGAAAATTTGATGGAGTGGTTTGTTCTTCTTTCTGTATTTTCATTATATAATATACAACAGGACTACGGATGGCAAAACCATGTAGGTGGATATGCAGTACTTGGGGCTTGGACTAATTTAATGTTGATGATGGGACAAATGCCTATGTTCGGTGATTACGTGGCTATGTATCAGAAAGTATTAAGCGAGTTCCTCAAACTGTTGTTAGCTTACGTCTGTCTTCTACTTGGTTTCGCCATTTGTTTCTGTGTTGTTTTTCCAAACGAAGAAATGTTTTCAAACCCTTTAATGGGTTTCATCAGTACTTTGTCTATGATGGTAGGAGAACTCAATTTGAATATTTTAATCAATGATCCGATTGAAGACGATCCTCCTTTAATATTCGAGCTATCATCTCAAATGATATTTATTCTGTTCCTTATGTTCGTGACTATCATATTGATGAACTTGCTGGTCGGTATAGCAGTCCATGATATTCAAGGCCTTCGAAAAACAGCAGGCTTATCAAAACTGGTCCGGCAAACAAAACTAATTTTATTTGTTGAAATGGGTATGTTCAGTGCTTGGCTACCACACTGTTTACACAAGTATGTGTACAGGACCGCCTTAGTGTCTCCAGAGGCAGGGAAAGTTATCCTGAGTGTGAAACCTTTGAATCCTCATGAGAAAAGACTACCGACGGATATAATGATGGCCGCCTACGAGCTGGCTCAGCTCAACAAATTGAAATCAGGAAGATCTTTAAAAGAAATGCTATACAAAAATAAATATTCATCGAAATTCAAAAACGAGGGTCAAAGCAACGAACAGAACTTTAATATCGAAATACGAGGAATGCAAGAGAAAATCGATCAGACTACATTTAATTTGAAGAAAATTGATCAGGAGATGAGACATTTGAACACTTTGTTGATGGAACAGAGCAATCTATTGCAGGCTGTTGTAAAATCTGTTGATAGAACCTGTACCCATACAGCTCAATACTATCCAGAATCACCAATATTCTTCACTACTAACATCTCCGATGTGACACCCACGACTAAATAGGTCTAAGAAGCCTTAATAATAAAATATATTATATAATTGTGATAAAAATATTTTCCGTTCTGATATCGATACAAAAGTTTATAAAATTGTAAGTTGTCTTATTCTTAGTAATGTTTTGTGTATCAGGGTATTTTAGTTACTTTAAAATTTTTCTTAATAAAACATTATATATCTGTTGATCTTTTTTGTTTTAAATATATATATATATATATATATATATATATATATATATATATATATATATATATAATATATATATATATATATATATATATATATATATATATATATATATATATATATATATATATATATATATATATGTATACATATTTTAAGTTATATAATAAGTATATATTTTTGTTGTAATTACGTGTTTTGAGATAAGAGTTAGAAGCGTTTTTTTGTTTTTAACACATCTTTGTTTGCGTAAACTGACGCAGTTTCATGATCAAGGCGGCTTTGTTATGTTTGTTTAATTTGTCACATAATTAAGATAACTTTTATATAACGAATTTTCTTCAAACACAGACTGTTCAAAAATGATTCTTTTAGTGAGATTGATTATAAAACATGTTGTCAAATAGTTTATTATTAGTTTAGAACTGCAGTTTGTTCTGACGAGCTGTGTGTAAGTTTGCGAAGTTACCTAATTGACTACAGTGTACTATGTCCGCATTCTTGGCCACTGCGTTGTTATGTAGCATTAGGGTCTCTCGTCTAGGTCACCGAGTATTTATTAAATTACTGCATATTTATGATAACAGACTTGCTTTATGTTGCTTTTATTACGCTATTAAAACAAACTAAGGCTCGAGTCTAGTTAATCTTATACATTATATCTTATATATATGTATATATAATTAAGAAAAATATCTTATATTGAATAATAAAGTTATTAAAATAAATAAATAACCAAAAGTACAAGGAAATAATAAAATCGAATGATGTCATCGGTAACAGCATTGTTTTTCCTCACTACCAACATAATAGGACATATAAACATTCCAAGTGTTTTATTGCAATTTCTTCATCCAGCTCTCCATAGTTAGCTGCTGGGACATTGTACTAGTAGAGACGAGTATAAAAACAATTTATGTCGTATATTTATGATGGTCTCGGAGTAGGACGCGGGCCGATAACAATTAAATAGAAATGCAGTTGGCGAGACGTTGAAGGTACAGAGTACTTGTGGGATGAAACTGTTACTGGTAAGAATTGTATAAAAAATTATATATTGAGAATAGTAAGAACTATAGTTATGCTGATCGTTATAAGCAAAGTTTTATTCTTAGACTACAAAAACAAAAGTGACTTCAATGTTTTTTTTTTTGTATACATAATTAATAGATTATTTAATTCCGTATTTTTTTATGATTTTCAGTACATTTTTATATTTCATTTCTAATATATGTGTTATAAATTGATAGTATTTCTGTGTAAGACTGTACCTGCCTGTAATTATATGACATGCGGCGCCATATCATGCTTTTTATGAAGCGTCGCACGCGCTGGTGACCCGCAACTTGGAAATATTATGGAATTATTTAATAAATACTTACTTTTAATGCTGCTGTGCTAACTATAGTTGTTTTCTATGTAACATATTTAATGTACATACGTACCGATTCCGATAAAACTTTTATCAGTCAATAAAGTTTTACGAAAGATAGCCTTTATTTGGAAAAACCGTATGTATTTTTTGTGCAAATAGAATGATGATTAAACAATATTATTTTCCTCAGTGAAACAATTTATAAGTACAGTTTTATTCTCATTGGTATTTGAATGTTGACTTCACTATGAGAGCAATAGCAATCAGAGTTGAAATACCAGCCAATTACGTGTGACAAATTAGATATTACGTCAAAATAAAGCGTCCAGTTTACTCGAATTCAAAATAGAATTCCAAATTCCTGGTCCACGGTCCACGACGCATAGTTTATGTCGTCAGATCTTAATAAATCGTCCATTCCCTTGATTAATGTGTCCCGGGAATAGATGGCGCCACATACCTTTTTATACCTGGTGAATATGATAGGGTTGCGAGCTAATGTACCTTTAGCAGATATAATATAAGCCTATAAGAATTTAATAGCAAATATACATAATCCTAAATGATGTTACGAAATTTTGTTATGATGCAACTTTGCTATTCTATTTAACACTTTTTCCGTATTACTTTCTTGAGAGAGATGATGCACTACTACGTTTTTCTTCTTTCTAATAATTTTATTTGATAATCGTTGCTTTAAAATATACTCTGGAGATATCACAAATCAGGACAATCTAAAATTCTACTTAAAATATACAAAACATTCAATGCACTGAAATATTAACGATGAAATAAGGGTTACTACAAACTCAGAAAATTAATGTAAAATCTAATAATATTTTTATTAAATATAAATGTTTTTTGTTATTGTCAGTCAACCCTAGCCAGAGTAATGTTCCTGTTTGTAACGAACCCTTTTAATAAAGTATACAGACAGCTCGGAGCAATCTATTTCGATATGAGTACAAAATTAAGTCAAAACGTGTCATAGCTTCGCGTTTTGCAATAACTGACAATGAGCGTCAAATGTCACTTATATTTGAGAAGTAATTGGTTATGAAAATATGTTTGTTTATATATATTTACATTATTTATACGACTGATGTAATATAATCCTAAGTAATTTATATGAGTACATTTTCAATAATAACAGTTTATCTTGAAGCTGAGTGCTCTAAGAGGTTTCGACGTGAATTTCAGGCGCCGATCTCTCTTGTAATACATAACGAGATGGATGGAGCGATGCTTTCACGTCCAAATGATGGGTTATTTATAATCAGATCGAATGTTAGCCTTGAATCATAATGAAGAGTATATACTTAGTATATCAGGAATGTTAATTAAAATATTTGATTCATAACTATCGTATTTTATATTAGGTATTAGTGTAGCCTGTGGCTTTAGCCGCAAATTAAACCCCCTTTGAGATAGATATTATTAGGTTGAGAGTTTTTTAGATTTCTCGATGGTCTTTAAAGAGTTCCTGATTTTGAGACAATAGAATTACCCCAGTACATACAATATCTTTTCGATGGAACATATTGATATGTTACATTTTCTCAAATACACGTTTGAAGTGAAATATTTTTTCATACATACAACAAAGTCTTGTTATTATATGTATTTTACATTTTCCTGACCTTTCGATTACTTTGGCTGCCTGCTCGTGTCTACTGTCAAAAATGATCAAAAAATTAGTCGAATTTAAAACTTTCTTGTTTTCGAAGTCAATGAAAAAGTAGCCTAACTTACTACTTATAAACTTATCTACCTTCGACTGGAATTCTAATGCAACATGGGCCAGCTGTTCCATAATTAGCAGGAAGACACTGAAGATATTTTTCTTTAAATTATGTTTTGACGTGAAAAGGCTATCATATATCTATACTTTTCATATTCAGTAGAACTCAGTTTAATTGAAATTTAAAACAGCCACGTTAATTCTATTTTAATGTATATTACGCTAACAATACTGATAATAATCATGAGTTGTTTGTTTTCGTTTACAAAATATATATAAATTTTCCACATTCCTATGTTTATATACGTCTGTCCACAGTCAGTAGTATCTCATATATATGTGAGTGCGCTTGTAATTTATCTAATATGATGATATTTCATAAGTCAACGTGTCTGAACGCTTCACGTAATTGCTGTACTATTAATATAACTGATAATGAGTCCATCACCGGTTGCGTGTCAGTTATTCGGTCGTTGATTCACATTTCGTAAATAGATTCACGTACGATGCACTGAAGCCATTTTTAGTGTCAAACACTATTCATATTAATAGATACATATGCTATAAAACATAAATAATCATTGAGTTTGTCATTACAATATGCCCATGACTTCGTTTTCAACTTTAGCTACAGGAAATCTTGAAAGTAATTTAAATTACTTATACCTTGTGATTTCTTTAAGTCTTATAATAAATCAATTTCGATTTAAAATTGTGTAGTAGTTATGTCCTATTTTGAATGTCAATAAAATTAAAATAATGTGACCGTCATCATGTAATCTAATCAAATCTTCTTTATATACTTAACGGCTCTTAGATAGCAACTTTAACACGTTTTGTCCAATTCAGTCATATCTATTTACTTTAATTTATTTAGAAATGGTTATTTTTATATGATGTTTAAGGGTCAAATATTTAAGCATGAAACATACCTACAGATAACATTTTTGTAATATTTTTCTGAATGGAAAATCCATACCTTTTATTTACGTAATATGCCATAACCTCTTTTAACATTACGATAGTAAGCTTGTAATTAGTCAAGTGTCAATCAAGAATTAAGTCAACTTCTTAATTGTTTTTTGTCTTTAGCGTATGTCTACATATATATAAATATCTAACCACAACGTCTTAAAGACAAGAGAAAGTGAATGCAATTTAAACATGGGAACATAAATTAATATGAATTTGTTATATTCAGAGAGTGTGTAAGAATCAATATGATAATTTCAATCAAAAAATATTTGTGTTTAAGACTCAAACGTTGAAAGATAATAAAAGTTTTATTACATTAGCTTATTATTTTATTATAATTTATCTATATGTCGTATAAAACTTCAGATGTATTAAATATCACTAATATTATAAATAAGATATGACTGTGTGTCATTACAAAAACCTCATAAAATAATAGTAATAAAAGGTTATATTTTGGTAGATATAGTATTGTAGTATATGGGATTTTTTTCTAAATAAATTTGAGAATAAGAAAAGGCAAACATTGAGATATTACCACAGAAGGCTCGGGTAAAATCTAATTATATTATGCTTTGGAACTAGCAGGCTGGATGTAGGCTAAATTTAGATTTGAACTATCCAACAAATTATGTGATTTACAAAAGAAATCTGAGATAGTAGTTCAAATACATAAATTAATTGTACGCAACGAAATTACTATATAAGCAATGAAAACTATTTTATGATCTATTGAACAGTAAGTAAGTAAATGTAATAATAAAAATTATTTAATTATCAGATTATGACCATAATAGGTACATAGACACATACAATATATCTGTCAGATAGATAGACAATACTAAATTTAAGGATATAGTTTAGTGACACATGATTGATTATTTTATAATTTTATATTTTCGGTTACTTAAGTAGCATTTTAATATAATATTTCAGGAAAAATCTGCTTAAATTTTATTCTTCTAACCTTTGATTTCTCAGTTTGTAAAACAAAACTTAAATGACGTAATAATTAACATTTAAAAGAAGATTTTAAAGTAGCTCGGATCAATTAATATACGTTGATTTAAATAAATTTGATATCAATAGACAATATTTATCAAAGATTAGCTTCCCGAGTTATATCAGTAGGTCATAAAATTTACAACATCTATCTGTCTATATAAAAGAAAATTTTGACCAAATCGCAATAGCTGACTCGTTCTCAAAGGATAATATGGCTTTCTGGATTCTTGCACTCGCTGCCTTGGCAGGTAAAGTTACGTTTATTTGAATTCTTTAATAAAGAAAAAACAAAAAAACAGTCATTACAATCTCAGTCTAGTGTAAATAAATATTAAAATTTTGAAAAATGACTCATCCCTAATATTTCTTTTAGGTTCTGTAGCCTCGCAGCCTAACAGGATTGTGGGAGGTGATCCAACCACTATCGAACAATACCCTTCAATAGTCCAAGTAGAATTCCAAGGAATTTGGTCTGGTGTTTGGTCTCAATCCTGCGGTGCTAACATTATTACCACTAGAACCGTAATCTCCGCTGCCCATTGCTTTGAAGGACGGTAAGAAATGGTTATAAATTAACCCAATCTGTAAATCTTTTATAAGACATCATTAAAATGAAAGGTAATTTACATTGTATCTGTGTTTTAGAAACTACTCACCACAATTGCGTCGTATCAGAGCCGGTGCTACCTATAGGAACAACGGTGGACAAGTCAGCTATGTTGTTGTTGCTTATAATCACCCCAGCTATAACGTTGCGATAAGTTACGATGGTGATATAACTGTGGTCAGGCTAGTACAAGCGCTGGTCTATAATCCTGCTGTTGCAAAAACCTCAATCCCCGCTCAGGGTTCCGTCATCCCAGCTGACCTGCCAGTAGTCCACGCTGGTTGGGGAACCACCTCAGTAAGTATGACCTAGGAGTTCTATTACTTGAATCCATCACGTTTTCTAAATTAGTTTGGTTAATTTAAATGAAACTGATATTATTCGGATTACTCCGAGTATTTAAACGCTCACTTAAACGAATAATATTAGTATCATTTTAATGAATACTAACGAAATTCTTAGATGTAGTCAATTTAGTTCAAATTTCAGTTTCGATATGAATAAATTTCTAAATATACTAAAAATAAACTTTGTTTATTTCAATGACATTTGAGGATAGTAGAACGTTCCATAAACGTATCAATTAAAATATCTCTTTTGTTTTATAACAGTCAGGTGGTCAACTATCATCAGTTCTTCGAGACGTCACCATTTACACAGTCAACAACACATTGTGTGCTGAAATCTACGCCAACCGTCCCAGGCCATTGAAGGTTACTGAAAATATGATCTGCGCTGGAATCCTCGGCGTCGGTGGTAAAGATGCCTGCCAGGGTGACTCTGGAGGTCCCCTGTATTATGGTAATATCACCATTGGTGTTGTCTCATGGGGAGCTGGATGTGCCATGGCTCAATTCCCAGGTGTCAGCACAGCGATCGCTCCATACACCAACTGGATCATCGAAAATTCCATTTAAGTTTAACCTATTAAAAAGATATTGATTTCCAGTGAATAGTTTTGTTATTTATAAAATAATGTCTCAATTTTTTAGACGCTAAACCATGATACACAATGATCGTAATAAATTAAATACACTTTTATAATATACACCTTATTATTTTTATTATTTCATAAAGTGCCTATTAAGTTTTATAGTCCAGGATTCCTAGTATTTTTTCGTTCTTAGTTACTATCAAGCTAATTTTCCTTGAGTAGCTTCGTTACAATCAGACTCCAAACTTTAAAGTATGCGATGATTCTCGGTTGTGGTATGTAACAGAAGTAGCATATATATGTAGAATATGTTGATTTGATGATTGTAAATCAATTAATTTTGAACTGATCTTTTTTATGCTAAATCTTTTATAATTATTTATATTATTAAAAAAAAAATGTCCTACAATAGTTAAAGTTTGGTCAAAGAGTTCCCCTTCGATAACGAAGTAAGTTACGATGAGAATCTTCCTTAAGGTTATACACGAATACTGGCCAAATTTAAACCTTAATGCAGAAGAAGTGATGCGCCATGAAACACTGGAAAGGACAATTAAACCAGTAATGTGGTGCAGGTTTTTCGCGAACTGCTCAAAGCAGGAGAAACTCGCGTACTGGAAGTTATAACAAAATTTTTCATTACCTCGTAGAAAAGGTGTAGAATTATGATAGTAATATTATTGAACAAACGTAATAAAACTTAATTGAACAATTACCGTACCTGTTTTCACAACTTTGAAATATAGTATGTACAGAATTTAAGTTTAAGAATAGATAGTTTTCTATCTTGGGTTACGCATTAATCTAATTATAAATAAATTTACTGATCTAATTGGTTCGCTCACTCAGTTATAGTTAAACCACACCTGTTACATCTCATCTAGAGGTAAAGGTTCGTATTGAGATCTAAACAAACACACTCATAGTCACACAACCCTTACCTAGCCGACTGTTTAATCACGGTCAAAGCTTTACAAGAAAAGAAAACAAGTCAGCTGATAATAGTAGTTCGCTTCTTTAAAATCCTTGTTTCATATCTGATAGATAAATTAACCATATTTATGTCATGTAAATTATTTATTATTTACATATATGGATTTTCTTTTAAGTAATAACGTCAATTATGGATTAAAAATAGAATAGCGTCATCTATATTGGAAATATGTAACTATCAAGCGGACAACGGTTTAACTTTTATTAAAGTGACTCTGCGAAGTTTAGCTGTTTGCCAATAGATGGCGTTAATAATATTTTGCATGGTAGTATAAAAATTACACAATATTTTAACGTTATTATTGAAACCTAAAGATCAAAACAGATTTTCCTTTATATGTAAAGATGGTTTTATTAGTTTGTCCCAATTAACAGTGCCTGGCAATTAGTGTATAACATTTTATTCCTTATACATATTATGTTTTCAATATAAAACATTCTTCTAATTATTTAACTACAGTTTGTCATCTAGTTTGAAATATATATCTATAAATACAGAAATAAAATATTCTTAAAAGTAAATCGTCTTTACAGTAACAAAAATGTTATGAAATAAGTACATATTTTATACATTTAAAATCGTGACTTAAGAATTTGGATGTTTTTATTTAACATATCGTTGTACGATCAAAACAACTAGCTGTTTGATAAAGTAAGCGTGAAAATCTTTTCCGTTTTGTTGAGATGTAATAAACTTTGTTAATCCTATCAAATAAATAAGAGCATTATCCTCCCTATATGTACGTTTATTTTGTGTTTAAAGGAAATTAAAACAGTAATGTTACCTCGAAAGAGAGATATTACATAAGAAAATAAGAATTCATTTAATGAAAAAGAAAAAATAAGTGAGATTTATTAAGTAATGTTTAGTTTTGTTATTTTAACTTTACAGTATGTCTGTTGTACAAGCCACTAAAATCTTTATGATGTTTACGATCTTTGTGTGTTCGTTTTGGTTGAAATATAAAATTATTCTACAAAACATTTTCATCTGAGAGACCTTGCTAAGTCGCTTAAAAATATATATGGCAAAAATGTTGTCCATCGCTAACAAATATTTCATGACAGGCGTTAAGATTATTGAAATAACAGGCATATAAATTGTATTTTTAATATATTAATGCATCAAAAATATAATTGGAGTTAAATTAAATCTATTTAAGTTGCCGTATTGTCACAGCGGGTGGTATAATCAAAGCCCTATGTGGTAACAAGTGTGAACCCTAGCTCCAATATCATATTTATATGAATCTAGAATCCAGGCTAGGAATTCCCGGGCCCGGATCAATATCCCGGTTTTCCCGTGTCATCACGGCGCACGCGTGGCGGCCATGTTTGCGAAACATCGGGACCTCTGTGGATAGTCAAAACAAAAGAAATATCATCCAAAATGAGTCCAGAACGGGAATGTCACGGTAATGATGTGATTTTATATTATATGTGTCATTATGATGACTCTTTACTTGTGTTTTGATAGCATGTTATAAGTCACAGTGTTCGTAATAATGTTGGTTACATCTTATAGTTATTGTTCAATTTAATATCGAGTTATAAGTCTTTATAGGTATTTGGTGTTATTTAGTTGTTATGAATGTGTTTGTGTTAAATTTATTATTGTTTTTAGATAACGAGGATGTCATGGAATCGATTGATGAGTTGAAAGAGCGGTTGTCTTCAATGAAAAGGATGATGGAAGAGAGGAAGGCGGCTGGTTCGGGGACAAAAGACCTTTTCCAGGGTCAAGCGAGGAGTCTCCACGGTACTACGATGATAGACGGAAACTTCCTCAGCTTCGTATTCGGCGGTTCCCTGGCCATTATATTAAGTGTATCCGTGTATGCCTTTTATAACCTTTACCACGCCGTTCTAAAGAAATTTCCATCGACACACACGGAATTGTAAAATGATCATTATAATTATAGCGGTAAGGTTGAAATGAGCTGTTTAGTTTAATTTAACCAATGTGTTTTACATTACGACAAATGTTAAACCAATTTTTAGATTAATTCCTATGAAATGTGATTAGTTCATTTTGTGTCCGTTGTTTTAATTAATAATCCTTTTTTATATGGCTAGTGTAGTTATTTTAATGTTGTATCATATAAGTATGACAATAAATAATTTGAAAATCTGTCAGTCTGTGTATTATTTTTCATAATATGAATAATCTGATCAAATCTTTTTTTATATGTAAATTCAATGACAGCTATTATTTCTTTTCAAGTTTATAAAATTGCCAGTTAAAAGAAAGCTAGCAAGTAAAAAAATTAAAAAATCTTACAATAGCTATGGTAATAAGTTTAAAAAAAATATCTATTTTATTAACAAAATAAATTCACAATAGAACAATGATCTTCAATTTGGTAGAAAATCTCAGTTAATGTTATTTTACTATCAAAAATTTATAAAAAATATATAACAAAAAAAACCAAAGTCAATAAATAGTAAGCGTTTTTCATTTGTTTTTCTGAATTAATAGTTCTGTAACTTTAATAAATACAAATTATTTTCTATATTAATAAATCATAAACTTCATTATGTCTTATATATTATTCCTCTTACTATATTTACACTCAATTTGCTATGAAACTTGTTAGACAATATATCTTTATGTTTTACATAGAAACTACAGATTACAAGTAGTTTGAGGTCAGGGATTTGATTGCTCCCTGCATAATGCAACTTTGAAATTGGCCTCGTGTTTGAGCAAGACGTGCCGGAGATGCAAAATGGCTGCCAGGAGAAAATTACACTGAATTATATTAGAATACAAAATTATTTTACACCTAATGAAGCTATAATAAATGTCAGTTTTATATAGAAATATAGGAACATTTAATTTTCTTTTATATCGTTTAAAAAGTCTTACGTATTATATTTCTATAGCAGAGTGTTTCTGTATGATGTATACGAAAATTATAGGATTTAAATTTAGATAATAGATAGATACTGGAACAACGTATTATCCATAGAGAAGCTGGATGGAATTTATTGGGTATTCTAGAAAGTAATTTATAGGTTTTTACAACAAACTCTTTCCTCAGGTTTCACAAACATCTGGAATTTTATTTACAGCTGACCAGTAGGAAAAAAAACGTCAAGATATAGAGAAAATTATGTTGAAATTAAAAATAGGTATTTTTTTATTGCTTTGATATCATTACTCACTGTGTCTATAAATTTTTCCAACTAATTTGCAATATCGTGGGTGTTACTGTGAACTTTAGAATATCGTGGGATGTATAACATTTGATACTATAATTTTAATAAATAATGTAATCAAAAGATTTCTTTATTGCACGTATAAACTTGTTATTAAATATTAATCTATTATTAGAATATACAAGATAAGTGTTTCATTAAAGTTATAGGAATAATATTACGGTGATGGACAGACGGAAAAACAACGGGATATTTATGCTTTTTTGTGGTTAATTATGACAAAAACCACTAAACAAAACGACTTAAGTAATTACCGCGACACTCGTACAGGGTTTTTGTTTATTATGGATAGCATTTTCACATTTAACACCTTGCTATAAGAGTTATAATGGCGTGACAATAATACGCAGTAAATTACGTACAATGAAACATTACTGAAACAGAGCCTGTCACACATTTCATTCATCATCAGAACTATAGCTGACTCTTTCGGTCCTATTGATGAATTCCATATAATGTAGTGAGTTAGAAAGGGACGGGGATAGTGATAGATTAAAGGGCGGGAAAGCCTTACAGAATATGTCTCCGTCAAAGCTGGGAAAATGCCACTTCGGCCATCGAGTATGAAATATTAAAGTTTTCGTTTAAGTTAATGCTACGAGGAAAAGTTATGTGTTGATTAAAATAGCAAAGAGACTCGAAAAGGCTGTGCTACATGTAAAATATTAAACACAAAAAAGTTTTTTTTTCTATTGCAGTAAAAAAAGATTAAAAATATAATTACACATAAAAAAAATATCTTGCATAATCAATTTATATATTTATTCAGAATAAACTCTACGACATTCTTTATAAAACTATTAATTCATATAAATAAAATTATCGAAGCTTGTCAATTTAAAGCCTGGTACACATCGGCTATAGAGAGCTTTGCGATATAATTTCAACTACCCACCTCACATCAACTCTATCTTTCTCTGTCACACTTGTATATTAGATATATTTGCGTCCTTGTCTTCAGTCGAATGGAACTCGGAAGAGGGTTCTCATCGTGACTTCCCCCCTACCCCTGGGGTGTTACTGTAACAGGTAAAGGTAGGATCTAGCTTCAGTCTCGCTTGAACAGTCGAAGGGGACGGACGGTCCATTCGACATAAAATATTACATTATATGTATTAATTTATTGTGAATTAATCTTGCTGCTGTCCAGTCAACGCATAAGGTAGGTATCTTTGAGTAATCCATATATTTCATTTATTAATATCGTTCAGAGTTCATTAAATAAATTCATTATCACTATGTACATCTATATATATTTAATACGTATAAAATGTTAGAGTTATATTTATAAGAGATGAGGATCCCGTTAATTAATTATTGGTATCTGTTGCGCGCTGAGTTCAACAAGTTTTTCCGCGTCGCCGTTGTCTCTTAATACAAAGAGAAACTAAACGTTGATTAAATTCGTTATATAAAAAATATTATTTTATGTAATTCCTCTCTTATAAGAGGTACGTAATACGATACTTTTAAGTATTCTTATAAATTTATTATTTTAGTTAATCTTAATATTTATAATGTCACAAAAAGCGTTCAGTACAAGTATTCAATAAATTTTATGTAAAATATGGTTACTCTATAAATTCATTTTAGTTACTTTTAAAAGTTTTCCTCGGAATTAATTCTCTTCAATCGTTTTTTTACTAACACTTACTTATATTTCTTGTCAATATTAATTACGTATATAAAATGGACAATATAGAAATATCAATAATAAAGATTCTGAGGTTTAAAAAGGACCGACTTGTTTATTGTATCATTTCAACATTTATATTCATGCAGTATTAAATAAACTTACTCCGTTTTAATAGTCGACCTACTTAAATATTATCGTACATGGGGTGAAGAAGAAATAATATAGGTTAGTAATGGAAAATTATATATGACATGAGCTGATGAAGCTTCAGGCTCCCGGGAACTAATAAAAATAAAGATAGCTCTACAGAGTAGAAAGAAAATCGATCTCATTACCAGTCACCTGGGAGAGTATGCTTCTAATGTAACACTTGATATGTAATGAAATCTAAGACTTCGCGAGTACTCATTTAAATGAAACTAATATTATTCAGATTACTACGTGTGCTTTATTTTTGAAAAAAACTACGTACTCCCGATGTTTCGGTTACTTTTCATCAACCGTGATTACTTGCAGAAGAAACGTCGGGAGTATGTAGTTTTTTATATATAAAGCACGTTTAGTATATCCAAAAAATATTAGTTTCATTTAAACAGTCCATATAAATTATAATTTCAATATATGTCACATACATCTGTAATTAATTTTCATGATAACCAATTCTCCTGATACCTAAAATGAGAAATTATTTGAAAGCCGTTGAGGGTTACATTAACGTTCTGTTAAATGTGTGGTACTAGCACGTTCTTTGTCCCTACTATATTACGTCTTAGTTTACATTTAACCTGAAAAGCAAAGAATTTTCAAGAGATACTTAACCTGTCTCGCGGGTAAGATTTGAGTAATGATGTTATGTTACCTCGGAAGAGACATGTGTTCTGAGAAACACATTTGTTTTTGAAGTATATTTTGGAGTTCCTTCCATGATAGCGTCAGACTGACAAAGGATTATACGAGTTTTGTTATAATATTCAGTATTAATGACAGATATCTTTTATATTAAAGAAAGTAATTATATTTCTCTACTTCTAAACTTGTTTGATTATATTATTAGACAATAATATCATAGTATAATTTAAGGCTGGATTTAAAGAATCTTATTTAAAACTTTATATATTTATATAAAATAAACAGATTTTTTAAGTATAACACAGTTTATTTTTAATGAATTTTCTACTTATTAGTTTTATTCAGTATTCATATAGGCCTGTCGATAGTTCTGTCGCATGATATAATATGATATTGAAGCTGAATGATCACAGTTCATTGAATTTTAAAGGTTAAATGATATTAAAAAGGTCAGTTGATTTCGTGGCTTAAAATAATTTTAGGTCATAACACTTGCCGCTCTGAGCTAATCAAATCAAAATTTGGCATTTTAAAGTCTACATTATAAGGTAACTACACTAATAAATAATCTCAATATATATATTTATGTCCCGAGTAAAATAATAATGTTGTTCATTTAACACTAATGATGCAATTTAGATAGAGTTGTTTGTTTCTTTGTAAGAAAATATTTATGAAAACACTTTAAAACTTCTTATTCAATTGATTTCTTCAGTTTTCTCCAGAAGTTTAATTATTTCAATTTACAGATAAATCTTTACATAAAATTCTTTAAAATAAATTACATATAATTTCTTTTGATTTCAAAAGCTGAAATTTTCCTTATTATCTCTACCTCCAATAATGATGATAAAATTTTCTTTCGTCGTTTAAATTAATATAAGCAGCTATAAAATTATTGTTGTACATATATTGATTTAGAAAGCGAGGTTAAATACGTTTATGTTTGTAAAATAACTCTGTTGCTGAATAAGTCTCTCTCTATATTTTTCATAACTAAGACTTAGTATATGTATTTAATGATATGCCTTTTATTCAGATTATTATGCAACATACAATGGTAAATTTAATACGTCCAGAACGGGTTTCTAAGATGAAGAGAAGGATTCAGTAATCCTTGTTGCGTAGTTGAAAATTCTTATATCTTGCACAAACATACACTTCTTTGCATCTTTATCCAATCTCACTTTCTTAA